AAATTCATATTATTATAATTATGTGTACAACCGTGTATGTGTGTATGTTTGTGTGTGTGCATGAGTGTATGTGTGCGTGTGTTTGTGTGTATGCGTGCATGCGTGCGTGCGTTATTTGAAATAACACTATTTTTATATTAGAGTAAAAACTAATAGCTTTTATGAAATCTAGAAGCCTTGTGGCATCAACGATAGACAGCACTACAAAAACAAAAAAATGAAAGTAAAATGTACAATGATTGAATTATTTCCTTCGGGTCTCGCCAAAGTCCAGCATTCTATCATAATGGTCCTAAAAGTGAAATCGGTATGGCATCCGAAAGAAAACAGTTTTTCATCTCCCTGCAGGAGGTATTTATTTGTCAGGGAAGTATGTCCAATAGGCAATCTGGCTAAGATAGCTTCGTCTGCTAGGCTAGAGACCCAAAGGTTTTCCAGGGATCAGCTAGTGTAAATTATTATTAAGTGTGTACGTGTATATCTATACGGGTAAGTGTGTGTGTATATGTGTGTATGTGTGATTGTGGGTGTATATGTGTATATGCATGTGTGTGTATGTTACATGTGTGTATGTGTATTTGTGTTTGTGCATATAGGTATACATGTACAACATATTGCCATCAAGCTGCGTTAAAATGTTCTAAGCTTAGACAGTAACATTTTTAAAGAGCGAGAAAAACAAAACTGTTTCATTATTTTAACAATTGTACCTTCATTATGTATTTTTTCATATTCTTTTTTTCCCAATGTCTAGAATTTGAATTTCTACAAATTATTTCGTTGGAATATACAACCCAAATCATAAATTAAAAAATGAAATTTAAGAAAAACGTATCCAATTTTTACGCCAAATAAATCTGACTAACTGGCCAAAATATACGTTTAGTGCTTGTTTTAGTAAGAATTTTACGGCACTTGCAACATAACTAGGTCTTATTGTTAGTCACAAGTTCTAAAATTTAGAAGTGTTACCAGAGAGAAACAAACGCAAAAATGTAGGACAGATAAGGACGATAGATTTTTGTTATAGGAAAGTAGGTCCGTTTTGTTTTCTTCGTGTTATGCTATCATTTTGTTATATCATTTATATTATAACTTTATAATTCTATGACAGTGTTCATGATTATGATTGTTAATAGTGTTATGTCATTATTGCTGTGTTAATAATAATAAT